TCTGAAGCCATTCACTTACTGTATTTAATTAAGCAGGCTGTTGTTGTATCTGCAAAACGAGGAGGACATATCCAACACAGAATTGTTTTTTTTCCTGGCTTCATTAGACATTGTTCAGGCTGTGGCGCTGATCCTTTCCGACTCACTGCGACTTAGCGGCAATAGTTTTGACCATGCTGCAGCTGATAAATATGAATTTAAATGCAGTCGCATACAGCTGGAATAATAGGCTTTTGTCGCAGACCAAACAATGCTTTGGTTCTGCTGCACAAATGAAAACACGCTTATAAGCCCTCTTCTATTGTGAGGAGAGGTCCTACTCATGCTGTGTCAAATTCAATAGCTTTACACAATGTGATGTTACATTGTCAAACAAGCTGAAAGAACTTAAGTTGTCATTTGATGGTTTGCTTTTTTTAAAATTTTGGTGACAGTTCTTCTTGGAATTTTTCTTTTAAGTTTCAGCAAGTGGCGTTCTTTTCTTTTTCTGGGTGCTGTCAGTGCCCATAATTACAACTAGGTTTGAGCGGTAGCGAGGCATTAAGGTATACCACGGTATATAGAAATCCCAACACTATGACTCACAATAGCGTCACAAATACAGACCTCTTCCTATTAAACTGATACAGAGATGCTTTAATGAGGTGATGTAATGTATGCCCAATGTAGGCGGGTGATACCAACAAATTGTAACATATACACTGTATATTTACTGCGAAACTGTCAGCTTCACTGCTCACATTCTACTCTGCTCCGCTGCATTCACAGTCACTCTCTGCCGCTCTCTCTCAACCACACACTCACTACGCACACAATAAGGAGTTACTCGATGGTGACTGCAAGTAGGGGGGGGGATCACATTACAGGGCTAGTAAAAGAAAGAAAAAATGCCTCTGCTGTTGTTAGGTATTATTTTGGGCTTAGTCCCCACGATAAAGGCGACCCAGCCAAAAGGGAGGAAGCTGTATGCACATCATCTCCATTCACCGCAGCAACAAGTGTTCATCAGGTCCTCCAGCTAGAAGAAGGGAGCTTATTTCCTATCTAGTCATATTCAATGGGCCATAAGTATTTAAAACCATCAAGACCTGTCTAAGTAGGATAATTGCATATTAGACACGCAGCATTGGAGGCTAAACAATGTCATACATGCTACAATGACTTTTTACACAAATACCGCCATATACCATATACCATATACCATATACCCCAGTGAAATATAAGGAAGGTATTTAAGTATGAAATAATACATATCGCCCAAACCTACTAACAACCATTTCTTATCCATCAGCAACAGAACAAACAGATGCCTATTTATGTGAAAATCTATCAAATTATAACTACTGTTTGTCACACATTATTAAAGTTTTGCATGCTCAAGAGTATAAAACAATGAAAGCACCTAATTTAATGCCATTATTTTATAAGAATATGTATGTTTCTCTGTTTAGCTCTGTCAATACAATGTGTATGTGTGTATTTATAAGAGCGAGTGTGTGGATTGATCATGTAATCTGAGTCTTATCTCGGTGGGTCTACAGAGATCAAGCAGTCCTACACACCCTGTCAAACACCGAGCTTCAAATCGGGACTTAAACAAGCTAATTAACAGTGTCAGGACTTTAACATAATGCTGATAGCATATAGCCGAGCGATAAAAGCTATGAGAAGGACCCTCTCCAATTAGGGCATTATTACCATACACATGATGAAATGTCTTTTTCCTGAAAATTCCTGAAAAAGATTTTTTGCTTTATCTAATTCTTGTGTGTTTGAGTTTTAAAGTTCAAAAAAAGAAACCCAACTATTTAAGTGTTGTAGAGCTGATCAGCAAGTGGCTTCATCATGAAGCAGTTAAAAAGATTTTGGCCCGACATGATCCCTATGATTGAAATATGGTTCACTGTTCATAAAAACAATATACTTCAAAAGAAAAGAAAAGAAGAAAATCAATTCAGCTAAATTATGTTTTTTTCTTTAATTTAGTTTTTTAAATTAAGTTTTTTTAATTGAGTATGAAATATTCACAACAATCTCACATGGACACTAGAAAGAAATTACAAACTAATACACTCAACATTCATTTCAAGCCACGTCCTTCAACAGGATGCAGACAGATTTGCATACAAGCTTGAGGTGAGATTTAGAAGGCATTCAAAAAAATAAGCATATGTCAAATGTACGTACGTGCACTGAAGGCAAGGTTAATTTGCAAAACAACATTGTAGAAAATGATCTCACTCATGCTGGCTCGCTAACGGGCGCTGTTCAATATTTCATTTCCACGAAGAAAACAAACACAGTTAATAGAAAACTGTGTGCCGTCATGTTTATTAGGAGGAATCGAAACACTGTGCAAGTTTATTTAGCTATAGATTTCACACCTAATGATAGAAGAAGTACATTTTTGGAATGATGTATTAACTTTGTGCATCATTCATATCATTTCTTGTTTTATACAGAAATATGCTTCTCTTCCTTCAGGTGAACATATGTAGTTTAAAACTGAATCACATTGATCCATGATTGAGTGTAGTGTTTATTTGCTCATTCTTATTTCAAAGTCAGTCAGATTGATACTGTAAATTAGGGCCAGTATTATATTTTTACAGTTTCAATCAATGTATTTGACCTACTGTAGGTAGTACAGTGATAGTGACTGGACTGTAATTAATAGTCAATCAATAATCAACTCCAAAAGGACCTCATTATTTTATACAGGACTGAGCTTCTAAAAAAAACAATAATCCTATAATCTATCACCACACGGCGATTAATTTTATTTATCTCCACTACCAGATGAGATGAGATGATGGATATACGGAGGTACATGGACATGGGGAAAAGTACCAACAAGAAGAGCAGGAAAACTATTCCCGAGGCATCCATCTCCACCAGCATGAGTCGGGCTCTGTGGTGACAGTGTCACTGATCTGTGCACATCCCTTCTCACAGGCGCCCACTACCACATGGCCACACAAGGTCAAATCATAACGTGCTATTTATATCCTCCATTTTGTATTGCTATCCAGAGCAGAAAGAAAAACCTGCCTCACTCTCTTTACTGTCCTGCCGCTACTGTTAAATTTTTTCCTGCCTCCACTTGCTTTCCCCCCATGTTCTAATGAACTAATCATAAGTGAGAGGCTTCAGCCAAATGCAAAGTAATCCTGGCACATGCCCTTTTATCCTGACGGCCTTTGGCTTTCTGAAAAGTTCACTCAAGATAACTCGGCCCAGACAAAAGGTTAGCGCTGCTCGGACATCGGGCTCAGGACTTTGGGCTTGTACTTCTCATTAATAGCTCTTTAACAAGCCCGATAAAACAAGACGAGACCTCCGGCGACAGCTGAGTGGCCACTTGATTAGTTTGGGAGTCAAACCCTGCCCTCTCAGGTTTGGTGTAAATAAGATCAGAAGATTATTTGTTGAGCTCATGAAGCCTGTTGAGCTTATCAGTGGAGCTTCATCGGGACTCAAACACACAATTTCAGAAAGTCCCAGGTAATGCACCTCAGTCAGAGTGTCTTGAAACCCACAAACATGAAAAATCCCCTCTGGGTGTTTCAAAAAGCTATTGCCAGCCAATAGTCCACGCTGCATCCATCAGTGCAGGAACAGCCTCAGCCTGACTGATTCAGTTAGTGCTTATGAAATGGAGCATCTGCAGAAGCTCCCAGAGAGTATGTAAACATAAGCTCTGCCTTGGGAAATGAGCTGAGGGGTCATTTAGATTTGGGTGGGGGAAGCATGGAGTGCTGCCTCGCTCTCACTCTCTCTGTCACCTGGTAACAGTTTGACACACGGGAGCTTCCTGGCTAATGTATTCCAAGCGCTGGGCTAAACAGTAACACCTGAGCAACCCCGAGCCCCCTCCCCTCCTGCCCCTTTTCTTTCTCTCCCGTTGCGCAGGCTGATCCTGCCTCCTCAGATATTAGGTAATCCAGGAGCAGGAGAAGGGCGATAGGACGCCCGTCTTGTAACGATGCCTTATTTCTAAGCAAAACCGTGCTACAATCACCACGGATATGCTTGAAATGTTTGCAGAGAGCCAGGAGCCATCCATTACATGTGCACTGTGCAGTAGCCATTTGGCGCTCTGTCAGTTAACCTGTGGGAAGTGATAAGCCTCCTTTACAGAAAGGAGGGTTCCCACCAATCACAACAATAGCAGAGATATTGGGTAACATATGGAAGTCAAGTGGCTTTTCGGCTGGATCTGCCCGCACACTGTATAGATTCCTAAGCTTTAAAGATTGTGACTATGAGCAGGGATTCATTATCACTGGTGAGTTTGTGTAATATATTATCAGCACAAGGTACAGTCAGGAACAAAAGCATGCAGGAGAAAGTCACAGACAGAGAGGGATGTCTTGTTCTCTTTTCAAATGGCATTACAGCTCATTTCCTAATCAATAGCTTGCCTCTTTCCTCCCTGCCCAAGATAAACCCATCGAAACTGAAGGATGGAGAAGAGTGGAGGAAAAAAAGCCACAGCCAGCCCATTTTATCTGATGGAGAGAGGTGAACAAACGGAGGGATTAGCTTCCATGGGATGAAAGCAGCTGATCGTCTTCCATCTCCATTCCCCTCCCCTTCTCTCCTCGTCTCTCCATCCGCCCACACATCCACACCGTGGTCTCCCCTCGCAACCAGACATGCTCTATATGTTGAAACGGATCTGCTATCACCAGCTGCGCTCCACCCTGTACCTACAGCAGTTTCCCAGCAAGCAAGCCAGCACAAAAAGCTTTTCAGTGCACATGGCGATGAAAGGCGGGCACCAAAATTGGTGTCACTGAGAAGGGCTGGGAGTTGTAGCAAAGTGTACTTCCCCTGTGGCACCCTCACAGCACCCACCCTTCCTGATTATGTCACCTAGACACCGATACATCAACACACATCCACGCCGCCACAAAAACACACTTACAAGCCAACAACAGACACCCCATTTCTTTGTAACTTCTGGGACAGCCCAAAGAGCAAACATGCACTCTTACCTGGCAACAACAGCACACCTTCAGCTCCAAATCTGCTCGCCCTGACAAGGAGGCACGCTCATCTGGAGTAGGAGAAGGGAGTCTTGGAGAGGGAGAGAGAGAGAGCGAGAGACAGAGAAAGAGAGAGAGAGTGTGTATGTAGTGTGTGTAGTGTGTGTGAGTATGAGGCTGGGAGAGAAAGAGAGAGAGAGAAGGAGAGAGAGAGGCAGGGAAAGTGAGAGGTGGAGCCTGGTTTGGAGGAGAGAGGGAGGAGGAGAGAAAGAGGGCTGGATGATGACTCTGTCTGCCATCTATATAGCCAGTCTTGTGGGAGCAGTGTGGATGGCGCTAGATCATCTTCTGTTCAAACACACGCGGCGGATACACCTAGTGAAAGACCTGGGAGAAAGAAACCCGGGGGCAGAGAACAGGGGGGAGGAGGAGGAGGAGGAGGTGTGAGAGGTGTGAGAGAGACAGGAGAGACTCTGGGCTGTTTAAGCCAGCATCGTCACGCAGCAGTTCCTAGGAATCCCTCCAGTAAGAGGGGGACTGCATCACTGAGTCCTTGGCTGTGATTGGCTGAGTAGTGGGGAGACGCCAAGGCTGTTGGACAATGCCGTGTCACCTAAGATGACCCTTTCTACACATATAAACATGCCCTGTCTGTGTTTCTCAGCCCCTCCGGGCACCTGTCACCTTCTAGGACAATTAAAAAAAAAAATCCCCTCCCCTAGGATGTTGGGATCCTTGGGAGCATGTCTGTATGTTTGAGTGTGTGTGGTCATAGTAAACAATGACCTGCCCTTGCACATGAGCAAATACAAACACACATGCATGAACACACACAACATCCTACAAGAACTTGTCCATGAAGGGAAGATGATTTCCCCAGAGGAAGGCTCAGAGGAGTCACACAAACACCTGCAAGGACAATCATTGATCAGAGTGATTGAATATGTTGTCAAACTGACCTCAAAACCAATGGAGAGGTTATATAGGACAGTTTAATAAAGGTTTGAAGTGATAATAATCTATAATTGTGTTTCAGAGTACAATACGACTGTCATAAATATTGACCGCTGCACATGTGCAATTTTATATGATTGCATTACTTGTAATCAAAAACAACTTTGCTAACACAACCAAACATCAAGAAAACGCGACAACACAAGACAGAGCAAGCCAACAGCAAGAACACCTGTCTCACAGCCTTTTATTTCACGAAGCTCTTGCCAACAGCTAAAAGCCAGTCCGAGATTTAACCTTGTCCAGCGGCTCCTCTCTAACCCTTCTCTCTTCCTAGCGTCCTCTGCCAACATCCCCTTAGGTCTCTTCCGTTAGCTAGGTCCACACAAGCTGCTGAGCCCGGTTACATTGCTGAAAACGTGGCTCCTCCCAGCGCACCGAGCACCCAGTCCCGGGCAGTACAGCTAAGCTAAGTAGCTATCAGCACCCACATTCTCAGCAGTTATTTTATTATCCGTCAGGAAACTGTAAATCACAGATAGTTGAAGCAGAGCAGCCGGAGGACATCAGAGGGAAAACCACAAAACATTTTCTCACTGAAATATGATCCAGTTTCTTCAAAGTCAGTGATAGTTGTGTGTGACTAGTGCCGTAAAGCATTTGTCAATTGTCCTGACCCTGAACAGGCGCGCAGGGCAAAGAGTGGGAATGACACCCTGTTACAACTTAGTCAAATATTATCAAGCTGTTATTTTAAAAAGGTAGAAAAGCTACATAATGGGGCTTTAAATGCTTTATGGGTTATGTCATTATTATTTCAATTATAGTATTCTTGTAATCAAACTATCACTCCGTTAAATTTAATTATTCATTAAACCCTCAATCTTAAATAAAACCTTCAAATTCAAAGGAGGAAATGAAGTGGCTGAGAGGTGGCAGCAAAGTGATCACGTGACACAGGATTCATGAATATGGAAAGTGGCCGATAATGCCATTTTTAGCTGCCTCAGGTAGCAAACCGGGCTTTTCTATTGGCTGCACAAGACAACTGAATGAAAGCAGTGCCCAGCTGCACTCAAAGGTCAGAAAGAAACCGACAGGCTGCAGAATGAATAGAGCTCTCTGTCTTGTGTTTTCCCATAAAAAAACATAAAAAAAACAACCCACATGACATGTCAGATGAGGTGTTGCTCGGGAGGAGTTGTGAGGGTACTTAAGCATATAATATATTGTAATCACTAGAGTCAGATGATTAATAAACACCTCAGGATCTACTTGAATTAAGCTGTTATTAGGTATTCTGGGGATTAGAGACCTTTGAAAGTGAGTGGTAGTCTATTCTTTTGAGTTTATACGCTGTTCATTGCAATATTGAACAATTTTATCACACATCGCAGATTTTCCTCATATCGCGCAGGTCTAGTCAAGCCTCCTCCAAAAACCAAGAACAGTCTGACTGTTTCCACTAGGGAGTCAAAATACTATAGCACCCTGTAGTGATTTCTCTTCACCCAGCATGTAAAGGTCATCCTCTTCTCCTGCATGGCTTTGTTTTTTGAATTCAAGAATCCAATAATTATTGGTCCGTTTATAGTAACAAAACATTCATTTTGGAGCTGATCAAACAAGGACTTCACTGGTAATTGAAAAAACTGTTTTATCACGAGGGGTTCTGGAGCTATCATTCATATCACATGAGATACATCAGCAGATGATAATTAGGAGAGTGTCCTTAAAGTGCTAATAAATGCAAATTTGAACACAATTCCAGGACAATTTGGCACACTCTATTTGCAGAAGATTATGCGACATTACTAAAAAGCTGCATAACAGCCACTAAATAGACCTTGTGGTGACATTGTTTTGGCTTTTTCGGAGGTCAAGAATGGACTTTGAAGCTCCATTAATTCATAGTGTCCTAACATGACTTTTGTGCCATGATCAATTTTATGTATTTCGGACCATTTTTGGGCCATACAATTTCAACAAATAAAAAAAAAATGTTTTGTATACTTTATATAATGTATTCGTGTCAGGGTGGAAAAACTTCTGAAACAGTATTTAAACAATTATGGACAATTAGAACTTTGCATTAATAATACCCATGGTAATATAATTATCGGGTTGCTTAGCAGCTTTATAAGGCAGAATGACTCAGTCATATCTTTAACCTCAGTAGCGAGCAGTATTGATGGAGCAATGTTTACTTTTATGTAAAGCATGATATTGTTGGCTCAGTCTACCCTAAATAAAAGATCCTGCCAAAGTAAAACTTCTTGTCCTTGCATGTCCCCAGCCAAGGTTTTGGCCATGGCTTGTACAGTGATTACTGGCCTTAATGGCGGTTTGTCTTGATATAAAAGAGCTCATTGGTTCTGGAGGGGCTCCACTGGCACACTGACACCGTCAACAGCAGGAACACCAGCTGCATCCTCCCTGGTCCTGTTCAGAAATAGCTTGGCCCCAGTCGTGGCCCTGGCCTTGTCCCAGCCAGCAGCCCCCACTAGGCAGGCAGCAGGCCTGGCTCCACAAGCCTGGCTCCTGTCCTCCTGTCCTGGAGGACAGAGGTGTCTCTGAGGCCCGGAAACGACAGGGAGGCAAACATCGTCGACCCCTCGCTGTACGAGCAGTGTCCTCTGTCACAGAGTCTCTCATCTAACGGGCTCAGAACAAAATCAAAGTGACAATATTAATCATGTGATGGGGAAAATAATTAGAGGGGCAATAAAGGACTGAGTCCCTTCCCCCCATCCTCTAACATACAGCACATAACAGATTACTGCTTGGCTCAGTGAGTGATTAAAGGGTGCCGGGATGGTTATGAATGTGGCCATCCGCAGCCAATTACTTCACAGACACCTGAGATCTGACAGCAGTTACAGCACAGGAGCCAATCAATAAAATCCATCTCACTAGTGTCATCACTTCGACATCAGTAATTACTTTTTAAAAAAACACACCTTATTAAACTTACTGTACACACCATTCAAACTAAAAAACATCAGAGAATACCCTCCTTACTTATTTAGTCCAACAAACCAATCAGACTGCTCTTTTCAAGGTGTTAAAGTGAAAAAGTCCTGTTGTCAGCTCCTCTCAGTCGAAGTTATTCCCTCATTAAAAAATGTCACAAGGCCATTGATTGTTTTTATGTTTCCAACACGGACGGTTGCTTATAAGCAGTATTCTTCAGTGGCATTAGTCATCCACACCTGGCTGTGTGGATCAAAACCCCGCTTTGGTCAAATCAGCCCTCTGCCAGTGTGTGATTCATAGTGAGAATGGCTTGCCTTGCCCCGACTGTCTGCACACATGGCGCCCCGGGAAGCCTGGTGTTTCTCTCTCTTGTTTACAGATCGACAGTATCTCTGGGAGAAGCCGGGCGACAGCCTGTGACAGACTGATGGATGATGTGACACTTATGCGCCACTGTGTCATCTCTGCATCCCCCATTCTCCCCTCACCCACTCACACTCGCCACCGGAGGTGAGAATGGAGGAGCGTGTGCATGTAGATCAAGCTTAAAGTTGCACCTTTCCTCCAAACCATGCATCTGTAGGTAGAGAAAAGCCTGGTGGGTAAATGGTGGGCGACTGTCAGCTTGCCTGATTGTTAGCGGCCAGATGACAAGGCTAGACCCGCCGCATATGATGATGATGCTCAGGAGCAGGGAAGAGCAGATGAGATGGGTGACAAGTAGAGGGTGACAGGACACGAGGGTGCCAAATGAATCTGCATAGAAATGAACAAGCTCTCCCCAAAATACAAATACAAGATATCAATGCTAGAAAAGAGAGACAGAGAAGAAAAAGCTACCATCACGGTCAGCAAATGGACACCGCCTGTCTGAAAGATCACAGACAGTAGTCATACTTTGGAGAGAATGCCATGAATAACGGTCATCCACTCGTCAATGCTGCTGCATAATAAGTCACATCATGGTTGACTCACAAGGCTATATGCTCCTCATCGAAAAAATTAATGAGAATGACAGAAAATATGTAATAAGAATACTTGTGTAAAAAAAAAATCTCATGTCATCTCATGTAATGTTACAGTCAATATTTAATTAGATTTTAGCTTTTGCAAATGAGTGACATGGCTAAAATTTGAGATAATCAATGGGCTTTTCGATAAGGCAGTCTGGGTAATAGGCCTGTTGAAATTCAAATTAAGAGCTTAAACTCTCTCAGACATGTCTGCCAA